CCCTCAAGGGCCCTGAATCCCACTCTCTCCAGAAATCCTAGGGAACTCACGCTCTCCTCCTCTGAACCCTGGTCCTTGCTGTCTGAGCACTCTGAGAGACAGAATTCATGAACTGCTTATTGTCTCAACAGACTGAGGTTCTTGCAAGGTAGAGGCCACATAGACAGTATCCATCTCTGTGCACCACCACCACACAGACTTTGGTGCCTTGCCAAGAATAGATGCATGATTGAATGAATGAACAGTTTCTCACCCTGCCCCTGGCTTTGCTCTTGGACAAACTGCTTTGCCTGTTTCAGTCTCAGTTGCCTCAGTTGTGAAGAGAGAATAAATAAACAGAAGTACTCCCCAGGTGTGCTATGAAGAATAAACCAATGACTGAAAAGCAATTTGAAAATGTAAAATGAAATGCTATATATAAGTGTTACATAATCAAAATCATTTCCCTCTGTATTATGTTTTATTTGGCTTTATATCTTCAAATCCTTCATGGGTTTCAGAATTTCACAGATGTAGTACCATCCGTATTAGCACCTAGATTATCTTGGGTAGTAAACAATTTTGTGTATTACAGCTCATGGCTACTTTTCCGTGGCATTCTTACATGAGAATCTGTCATGATTTGGGGTATTCATAATCAGTAATGATATAGTTCATTTCTAAGGGATAATCCAGCTTTTTCACTCTTTGGCTATTATCATTCTCATACTGCTGTATCAAGGGAACTAACTCCCATTAAGTCTAAAATCTAAGTGCCTATCAGTAGTTATTGCTGTCATCTCTGTGAAATTGGCCGTAAGTACTACTGCAGTTTCCCAGATAGAAAACTAAGATATGGAAGGTCAATGATATGCCCAAGGTCTCAGAATGAATACATTGCAGAGCTAGTATTAGAATATGCAGCTTCTGGGCTGGGTGTGGTGGCTTACGCCTGTAATCCTAACACTTTGAAAGGCCATGGCAGGTAGATCACTTGAGGTCAGGAGTTCAAGACCAGCCTGGCCAACATGGGGAAACCTTGTCTCTACTAAAAATACAAATCAAAAAATTCACTGGACGTGGTGGCGCTTGCCTGTAGTCCCAGCTACTGAGGAGACTGAGGCAGGAGAATCGCTTGGACCCGAGAGGTGGAGGTTGCAGCAAGCTGAGATCATACCACTGCACTTCGGCCTGAGTGATGGAGCAAGATTCTGTCTCAAAAAAAAAAAAAAAAAAAAAAAAATCTGCAGCTTCTGTCTGCATTTCTTTGCTAAGAACTTTAGCTCAACCTCTTCAAATTGCGAACAACTTTCTCAGTAAATATATGTTGAGAGAGGTGGTAGGAATCAGGGAGAGGAAAAAAATATATCCACATAAGTAAAATTTTCCTCAACTCCAGGTCTGCTTCTACAACTCTTCCTGTTTTGGTAACTCATTCTCATTTCACCTTAAAAAACTTTTGGTAACCAAAACTTTTAGAAGCTATATTCCTCCTTAAAGAATGAGGATGGTTTCCTCTCATTTCCACTTATAGACTGAAAGCACAGTAATACAATGAAATTAAAATAAATGGGCAAGGTGTGATGGCTGACGCCTGTAGTCCCAGCACTTTGGGAGATCGAGGCGGGCAGATCACTTGAAGACAGGAGTTTGAGACCAGCCTGAGGAATATGGCAAAACCCCGTCTCTGCTAAAAATACAATAATGAGTCAAGCGTGGTTGCCCACATCTGTAATCCCATGTACTCATGTCACTGAGGCAAGAGAATCACTTGAACTTGGAAGGCAGAGGTTGCAGTGAGCCGAGATTGTCATCCAGCCTGGATGACAGAGTGAGAGTCTGGGAAGAAAAAAAAAAAAAGAAAGAGAGAGGGAAGGAGGGAGAGAGGAAGGAAGGGAAGAAAGAAAGGGAAGGGAAGGAAGGAAGGAAGGAAGGAGGAAATTGCACATGTAAATAGAAAGAAAATGTAAGTTGCACATGTAAATAGGAATTGTTCATACCACACTTTTCCCATCTCAACATCATTTTCATCTCCGTTTTGGCAGTTAGTACTACTATAAATGCAATGCATTTGCAGTGCTTCATAAGCACTGTCATGATGTCTCCTTTAAGCAGCTACAAATAGTGGGCCAATTCAGCCACTGCTGTTTTATAGGCAAAGAAGCAAGAGTAAACAAAGATGAGTGATTGCCAGGAGCACTCATTACAGTAGCTGCTAAGATTAGAACCCATGGCTTCTACCACTCACATGCTATTGAAATTTAGGAGATTCTAAAATACTGTCTCAGGGTCAGAAAGAAGTGACAGTGCCTGAAGATAATCTTACCATCCACAGAAGAACAAACCTGGCTTCCATGGTCCCACCTGAATCTTCTCATTCCCAAGCCATCCTATAAATTTCATCTCTTTGAGTGAAAGAAGTTTCCTTTTGCAAAATAAGTTGGAACTAAAAAAGTGATGTCTGCGTACAGATTTTCACGGTTCTCTGTTTGTTCCATACAGAGAGAGTAAGCATGGGTTACTGGAGTAGTAACAGATCTCATTTTCCCTTGTAGACTATGGGCATGGCCCAAACTCAAGAGATGTTAGGGGCTCTTGCTGAAAATTGATTACAGCAAAAGGAAGTATGGAAATACGAATATAGTCCGAATGTGCTGATTTTTCCATGTCTTCCGTTCTACACGGGAAAATGAGATCTGTTACTTGTCCAAGAACCCATGGATGATCTTATCTGTCTGAAACAAACGAAAAACCTTGGAAATCGGGACATGAAAGTCACCTGTTTAATTCTAACTTGTTTCATGACAGGAAACTTTATTTCCTTTTTTCATCATGTAAATACTAAAGTAAGTACATTCACAAGCCAGTGTTTGGCTCCTAGTTCCAAAATGATTTTAAAAAATAATCGGCATCTATGAAAAATCTTCACAAGGTGCTAATATGATAAGCACTGTTGGCAAACTTTTTCTCTAGTTGTATTCTGAACTGTGGTGGGGGAAAAAAATCCAAAAAAAGGTACATTTCTTCCATGAGCATTTCCTAATAATTCTAGTCAAAGATGATGTCTCATGGCAGCCTCCATGAAAATGGAGGCTGTTTGTCTTGGGCAAACAGAAGAGCACAATTTAAAAACACATCAAAGTGGAGTTCTGCTAGAATCAGGCAGGGAGTCAAGTCTTCTCTCTCTTTGGTCTTCTCTCCCATAGGGCACTTCCAGCCTTGTCCCTATCCAATTCTGCCCAGACCTGGGCAGAAACCTGATTAATAAACCTCCAATCATGTGGTCTGCATCTAATGCTTTATGGGCAAAGGCCATTCTCCTAGCCATTCAGCAGCATGCTAAGGAACGTCTGGCATTGAGTCAGATGGTCTTCCTTGCCTGTAGCAGTCCTTTGGTTCACTAGCTAGAAAAGAAGGAACTTAGATATGGACAATTTTTGCATTACTGAGCAATTTTTCAAGGTCTGCAAAAGTCTGTCCATGCCCTAGTCTCTTGCCCTTCTGACAACCTTCCTATGGACCTTTTCCATCATCAGAACCTTGTCATGATGCAGGACCTTATAGAGGCCAGATGGCATTGAAATAACATCTGCAGCTCCCTTACATGTGAATCGTTGCCCGTACTGTGAGAGACCTTTAGGACTTCTGGGACCTGAATGAGAAAATGGTCTGAAGTGGGCTTGGGCTGAAAGCAAGAGGTGAGTGGAAAAGGTAATAGGGCAGCAGGTTGCTTGACCCCTTTCTTGTTATGAGCAGGCATGCATTCCTTCTTACTAATATGGGTTGGGTGCCTACCCATGGCAAGTGCAGTTCTAGGCAGAGAGAGACCCCTACCCACTCAGAGCTGACGTCTAGGGCTTGCTTACATTCTAGGCTTCAGCCGGGAAAGCAAGAACACCCAACCCACCGCTTTTGATTCTGTTATTAGCTCAGAGCGCCTGTGTGAGCCGGTGCTGCAGCCAGAGTAGGGGCTCAGAAACCGGTTGACAAGATGAGCAGCATGGTCCTGGGGGCTGAGGCGGGAAGGGCCCACAAGGCCATATTCCAGGGCTGTTCAGCCACGAGTGACCCCTGAGAGTTCGGGATCTCCGAGCTCGCGCAAGGTCTGCATCCCAGCCAGGAGCTTGCAAAGGGGAAGGAGGCGGAAGCGCAGAGTGGGACAGATGTGGTTCGTTCTGGGGCTTCCTGTCCACGAAAATGGATGATTCTAGCCCTCCCTCAATGGAATCCTAGCGGACCCAGAAGACAGCAGCAGAAGTCACCGCAGAGGATGCCGCCCCGCAGGGCAGCCCGCCCAGAGGGAGGGTCTCGCAGGCTCCGGCGTCGTGGAGCGCCCAAGCCCCTGGGTGGCCGCCGGCAGTGCCCGCGACGCCCTGGGTCGGGAGGAGGAGACCCCAGGCGCCGGTAAGCTCCCCGCTGCGGGTGGCCCAGAAGGCAGGGGTGAGGACGGGGCCGTATGCTGAACTTTGGGAGGTTTGCGGGCCTGGAGTTTCGTTTCAGAGAGCACCAGATCGAGATGAGAACCTTCTCCAGGGAGCCCGGGTTTCCACCTGCGGCTGGGGACCCGGTCCTAAAGTCTTCCTTTCTGGGCCCTCAGCTTCCTCCGGCCGGGGCTCCTCCGGGGCGGCTAAGTTCCGCGCCGCCTGTGGGCGCCCGATCCGCGCTGCGGCTGGCTTTTCGCTCCGCAGCGCGAGGCGCGCGGTCGCTCCGGGGGCTCCCGGTCTCTCTCAGCCAACTTCCTTCTGGGACCGCCGCCTCCCTCCAGAGCCGCTAGCGTCCCACTGCAGCCAGCCCCGCAGCGCCGGCCCGCAGCCACCGCACTCCGCAGGAGCCGACTTCCCCGCCGCCGGCGCGTCTCGGCAGCCTGCCCTCGGACAGCGGCTGCGGGGCGGCCCCCGCGCCACCACGATTGGCTGCCGGCTGCGCCAGTCAGGAGCCGATGACGCCCCGGGGCTGGCTCCGCCCCTCCCGCCGCGCGGCCCCGCCTCCCCTCCGGAGCCTGTTCGGCTCAGCCCGGGCGCTTCGCCTCAGTCGCTGAGCAGGTCCGTGGACTGTCAGCGCGCTCCGGGCGGTTGAGCCGCGGCGGCCGCCAGGCTTGCCGTACTCCCCCTGAGGTGCCCGCCGGAGCCAATGTGCCCCGGTCCGCTGGGGCGTGAGCAGCCGCCGAGCGGGGGCAACTTGGGACTTAGAACCCACAGCAAGGACGTCGGTGTGCGATCGGGACTCGGCCAGGAGGGTGAGTGGCCGCGCGCCGAGCTAGCGGCTCCTCTCCGCGCGGTTCGGCGGCGGGCGGTCGGGGACGGGACGTGTCCTGGAGCTCCGTGGTCCGTTCGTCCGAGCGTGACCTCTGTGCGGTGGCCAGGGCCGGGCGGGATTCACCCCACGCCAGTATCCCCAGTCCCGAACTTGTTGTTTTCAAAGCATCCCAACTCCGCCCGGGACGCGGTTCCCGTCCGCACCAACTTGGGGTAATTGACTTGGGTAGGTGGGGCCGGGACGCGTCCCCTGCCCCTCTGCGGCGGCGGCACGGAGCGCTGGGGCGGCCTCGGTGCCCGCGGCGTGCGGACCGCGGTTCCTGAGAAATTACCCGCGCGGGGCCGCAAGATCAGACCCGCGTCCCCATCGGGATCCGCAGGCTGAGCAGGGTGGGTGTCAGCGCCAAAGAACCGGAGTGTCCAGCCGGGTTCTGTAGCGGAGGCTTCAGTGCTTTGCAGCTGCTGAGAAGAATTGACAGCACTGCTGGGCTTTGAACTTTGTAAAGTAATTGCTTTCTACTGGCACTTGAATCCATGTCCCTCCTGAGGTGCTCGGACCTCCACCTCTACTCGCTAGGGGTGTCCGAAGGACTTCCTTAGGACCAGGTGGGAGCTGCTGTCGGTTCTGGTGCCCAGAGCCCCGGAGAATCCCAGAGGCTGCAAAAGGGATCACGCCAGCCTGGTCGTGTGGTGTTTGAGCACCTGCGTGTTTAAGTGATGAAGTTGAGTCAGAAATTGACAGCAAAGAACTCAAGGTTAAACCTGACACTCCGTTTGTGACTCGGTCTGAGTTAGATTTTTTTCCCAGCTTAATGCTAAGGGAGTAAAAGCAGCTTGTTTTTCTGAGGCCGACTACATGCATGTTGTTTATGTTATGTGTGGACTAAATAGATTCAGTACGATGTTTTCTTGTAATTCTTATTTGACATGAATGAGAGCTTTTAAAAATACTAGACAGTCAGGTCCAGAATTTGGGGATGTTTAGACCTTTGAAAATACATGAAAATGTTGAGATATATAGTTCTGTATGTGTATATGTAGATGTAGATGCGCATATACACACATATATACGTGTATATGTGTGAGTATGTGTATGTTTAATAGGTGAATGAGGTAAATATTTGAAGGGGAAACTCAACCTTGAACTTCCCTTGGGTCACAGAGATGGACCCTTTGAGCTGTAGAGTGTTAGTGAGTGTGTATGCGTAAGCATGTCTGCATCTGCCTGGTCTGTCTGGGTCAGAGTATGTCCGTGAACTTTACGAGCGTTCAGTTCAACACCACTCAGTGCAGATTCCGCGTTCCTGTTTTACAGCCCAGCAGCCGCCAGCCGGCCCATCTGTTAAAACATAACATGTACACTTAAGTCCGAGCACTGGGGTGGAGCGTGGGTAGGGGGCAACTCTTAGCAGAAACAACATGCTAAAGACAAAGCCTGCCTCACAAGTTCTATTTTCATTCAATATTTGGCCTGAACTTGCAGTTTTGGTGAGGGAGAGAGGGACATGGGAATGTTTGTCTCTACAAACGGCAAACTGCATTTTGTGCAATAATTATAGCCACAGCTTGGGGAAGGGGAGCATGTAGGAGAAAAAATAATAATAATCCCTCGAGAAATGTGGTGCTTGTCACATCACCATGCAACGCTGGTTTACAGCTTTGCAGTATGGCATGTATATCAGAAACCATTTGCTTTTACTTGTTAAAAGAATGCATTAAAACCAAATCGTTTTGCACCAAAAACAAAAGAAAAAATGCACCTTAATACAAATAAACAGAGCTTTATTGCAGAGGCTATAGTTAAGACTGCCATAGTAATTAATGAAACACGCTTTTAGGAATTTATAACTTGGACATATATTCAGTCTAATCACTAGTTGCAATGGTACACAATTTGTAGTTTAAAAATAATAAAAAGGCTTTATCACAAAAATTCTGATGACTAAAAGGGTATGAGAGGAGTATAATAGCTTAATAAGTTCTTGCAGCCAAGTGACTGATACTTTAAAAAACAATAAATTTCTTTAATAGCATAATTACTTTGGTGGCAAAATAAAGGCAGTATTTTTGAGAAGCATAGGTGATATTTTTTCCAATAATTTTATGCTCATAATTACATTTTAATAATGGTGTTCATTATATATGAGCAGAATAAACTGTACTGATTTTTAAGAACCCATTACAAGAACTATTGTTTTCAAATTTATGGTATATAAACATTTTGGGGAAAACATGCAAAACGCCAATCTGTGAGTGTCTTTAAATTTATAACAGACTATATAGACATAATAATTTTCCTACCTTGATATGAATCATCCAGATTAACTAGGCTGTTTCTTAGAAATTCAGTTCTTGGGCTGGACTTCAGTTCCAGGGTTTCAATTTAAGAGTCTAGGGTGGAGCTTAGGAATCTGCATTTTCACAGGCACCCCCAACTGATTCTGATGCCAGGGATCCCTTCATTGTACTTTGAGAAACAGTGGAATGGTGTTAATGACATAAAAGAACAATTATAATCTATGAATTGATTTAACAAATAATTGTTCAGAAATGTCCAGGTAGCCTTTACTGGCCATGTGAAATTTATAGGTAATGCATTAACTCTGTCTTCAACAATGGATCTCTTTTGTCCTATGTTTGAAAGTGTTTTGGAATCATCAGCTATACCTATTCCAGGTCAGCTCTGATTCTAAGGAAGTCTGCCTGATGAAACAAGACCTGATGAATTTAAGACCGCCCCCCACAACCCCAGTCTTAGTTCCTTCACGCCCCACTCTGAGTTTGGTGGAGTCCTAGGGTGCTCTGGGAGTGACTTTGCCAGTTCTAACTCACATGCGTGAGCATTTCCTTCTGAAAGGTAGAATCCTTTTCCTCATGAGGCACCCTTTTTCTCTTTAAAAGCTGTTTTAGAACAAAGCCCTGCACCTCAGCTGGGCTGCTACTGACTATATGAGATCTAGGATCTACTTGGGAAGCTGTGGCTATTTTGCTTGTGGCCAGGAAGAGTGTCTCAGGCCACCCACCCAGAGGACCAGGGATTCTTATTTTCTGAAAGTCACCTTAGGAGTATTTTGAGCTGCCTAATTAATTGGGTAAATAGATTTTCTCATTGTCACAGAGATGTGGATTGAGAATTGTTTGCTACCTCTCCTTTCACTGAGATCACTGTGAATTTTTATTAATTACTGCCAATTAGTTTTTTATTTATCATTTGATACTGACATTTGGATTCTGTTCTCCTATTTCAGACTGGCATAATTCTCCGTTTAAGACTCCTAAATAAGGTTTGAAAGAGAAAGTATCTATCAGAAGTTACCCTTCCCTCTTTCTACCATCCAACTACCTAAAAATCCAAATGACTTCTTTCAGAGGTGAGAAGTATCCTGATAACAAAAGGATGTGGATAGGCCGGGGTATTGAACTTGGATTGTTCCAGACCACTGGATCATCATGGGACTTTTACAGAGTAATTTCTGTTTAAAGAAGCACTTGGCAGGCATGTTGATAGGTCACTTATCTTAACAATCCTTTGAGGACAATGATTTTTTTCTACTTTGTTCCAGATGAGCAAACAGCAGCTACAAAAAAGATAATATTTCGATCTTGTCTTTCATATTCAAAGATGACACCAATAACTGAAAAGTTGGACTTGCATTTTAAATTGTTTTTATTTTGCATCATGGTGATATGCTAGGGTTATGCTTAGTCATTCATATCATCTACAATTTTTTAAACTTTTTCTTCCAATTTTTTCTTATATTGAATGTGATCTTGTAATAGTTTTCCTTATGAAGTTAACTACCATATATAATAATTAGTTCAAGCCAGCCTTGACCCAGAGAGGCAAATAATTTGCTTAAAATCACAGATTACAAAAGCAGCAAAGCCTACATGTAGAATCCCTTAGACCTGTGTTTTAGCCCTGTGCTATGTTCTCTATTGTCATGTTAAACTGCTAATACTTTTACTCTGGCAAAATAGAGTTGCTTATGTTTTATATGCTTAGTTTCTGTGTGATTGAATAGACTTAGAAAAATGGAAAAGCCTAAAATATACTATCCAGAGCCCCTGATCATACAATGGGACTGATTTCTGCCCAGTTAAAAAACTGTAGTAGAATGCTATTTTTCTTGAAACTGGGCCATAGGTCATTGCAAGCTTCTAAGCAATAATTCTATTATAACTTTTTTTCTAGCTATGGCATTCTCCTGGCACGTAACTTTCCTTTGACAAATTCCTTTCAAGTTTTTTATCCTTCTTTTTTACCCTTATTCCGATAGCAAAATCTGCTTGTAAAAAATTTACTTTTTAAGTCAATCTGCCCTCTTAACATCTCCCAGTTCTTCCATTTTAGCCATTTTACTATTTCTCCTCCAAAGTGCCCCCTCAAGTTCCTAACCTTTGCTTTAGTTTCTTGGGTCTAGTAATATCCTTTAATATAGGACAGTCATTGAGCTACAGAAGTTTCACAACAGCTTAAGCTTGTGGATTTAATGACAGCAGTAGTATGAAAAAAGAAAAAGATGAAGGATAATATTGAAGTCATGTTGATATGTGTATCATATTAGATATTCCCAGCTTACAGTGTCAGTGGGAAATTTAAGATCCAGATGAATGAAGTGACAGATGCACTCATCTGTGGCCTCACAGACACTCCTGATACAAGCTGAAAAATATAACTGAAGATAGCATTCTGGGTTACAGAAGGAAAACAAATGCTAAGCTCTGAGAAAAGAACTGGACAAAAAGTGAAGGGTTGGGGGTGGGATTGGTAGCATGGTAGAAAAGAAATACCTCCAGTAAAATGCCAGACAGGGTGGTAAGAAATTTATAGAGGTGTAGATGGTTTGGGGTTTCCTGGGGGCATTGATTCTGTTTTATATTGTCTTCACAACCTGCTCACCCTGCTTGCTTTAAATAATTTATTACAGCAGCAGGCCTTCCCCTGGTTAGTTTCTTTTTTTTTTTTTTTTTTTAATAA